TTAACGTAGCATCTGAATATGTAATGATATACAGGGCGTTCTATTTTAAAAAATGGAATTTTGGTCTGTAGCACCTACACCAAACACCCTGTATATTTAAAAATTATATCAAAATATAGCTCTCATGAACTCCTAAAACTTTTGTATGAAACATTTTTGTGTATCTCCTTCAACAAACCAGATATTGCCTGTCACATAAAATGTGGGACACCCGGTATATCTAGTCATAATGAATTCATGAAGGCTGTGAAAAGTCTAGTATTACAGTTGTTGATCTGTATTTCTTTATTCTGTTGGTAAAATACAGATCAAAAAAGGACATATTGGATAAAGATAAACTTACGAAATAATCTTTCTGTGTTCAACATCTTCATCATATGCGGTACCGGATTATTGAACAAAGGTACTCTCATGTGGTTCCAAATTGGCATTTTTCCAGTAGAATCCGTGAGCAGCGAGCCATTTTCGAATGATCGCATAGCATTTATCCATGGCTCACTTGTGCTATATATGAAACTTCCGTCTATCCAGCTGGAGACTTTGTTGACCTTGAAATAAACGATATTATGAAACATTCGCAAGCTTCAGACAAGTGGACATTGAAATAATTTCCATTAAACTTCATTCTCAGAAAAAGTTTTACACTATTTGTTTTATTATACACCCAAACTTCTGAAATTTCAAAGGCGTCTGGAAGCCTGTACCGATCTCAATAATTTCAAGTGGTCCTTGTCTAAGGCAAGTTGAACGACACTAGACTCCTCTGCTTTACGAAAGCGAATATTTGAAACATTTTCTTGAAATACGCTTTCTTAGACCACTATGACTATATGAACAAAATTACCTAATGAATACGTCAGCCGATTGCTGTTTATTGATTAGCCGATTTCCTGAACCTTCCATTTCATTATTGAAGTTGTTCAAGCCAGCAATCGACAGTTTCTAACAATTATCTGTCGAATCTCTTGGAGCTTTACTGAAGAGGCGGTGGGTATCCGAAAAATAAATTCAATGGTGAGAGATCAGGTAATATAGCTGGCTCCCCGCAACACCACATTTCGCCACGAAGCATATACTCAATATCTTGTTTCACCTGCTCCAGAACTAACATCGGTCAAGCTAAAAGCAGAGTCTCCAATATAGCCTATCAACATGAGTTTGTTGTTCGTAAATAAGATCTAGCCTTATCCCTCTTCAAACACCATGTTAGAATTGAAAAACTCCCCAACTGCCTCACAAAGATTACCACATTCGTGGAGATTATTACTTTCCCACCGCACATCTCACATTATACGCCACACTACTGCTCCCACTACCAACTCCCACTACCGTCCGCCCTTCCACCTGTCCCGAGACATAAATACAAAACAAGAACCTCGAAATCTTAGTCGAACGCACTGAATAGAGATGACCCCAGATTCCGATAGAGAGACAAACATAGGAGGCCAACGAAACAGAACCAAAGAGCCCCCCTGAAAGTCGCCACCAGGCAGCTCCAGTAAGTATAAAAATTTCTTAACCAGTTCAAATTAATCTCTCTTTCAGACTCACTGAGAACCAACACTCGTTCGTGATTAAAAAGACACTTCGGTTAGTTTTTGGGAACCCCATGCAAAATTCAGTTTGGAAAGTCATCATAAAATAATTCAACAAATCAGAAAGTAATAGCACCTAGAGGCTGACTTTCGACCAAAGAGGGTCAGATGTCAATCTTGCTGAAGTGTCCATCAGTAGGACTGAGGACCGCACCAGAGTAGCGGGGGTGGATAGAATGGTGTATTGAGTTTTCCTCACAAAATTCATTTTGTGAGGGAAAATCTTAGTCCTCGTGACTGAGTAGGCAGATTTGATACCCTTGGAAAGTTATGACGGGAGTCTCATTCATAACTCCGACCGCCTGCGATCTTTGAGAAACTTCAACATCAATCACATGATAAATGGCGTATGAGCACAGTAGAATAATAGAACCAGTAGGCTTTCTTACTACGTAATCCGCCCGAGTTGCCGGGGACCTTCAACCGCTCTTAGGATGAGATTCACATCCAACGCGTTCAGTGCTGTAGTATCGAAGGATTCGACGGAACCACGGGCATCGGATTAGTTATAATAGACGGTCGGAAGTTGATATTGTGTTCTGTCTATTCGCTGTTGTTATTATTGTTTTCAGTTTTTGTAGTTGATATAAGTAACTTACCACAAAATCTTCTATAATATCCTTAAATTTCGTTTTTATATGAGCGCACGCTTATGGTCAAAGAACGAAACTGGCTCCGCACTTCGTTTCAAGGTCACCAAGAACTTTGTGAATTTATGAATGAAAGTAGCAGGAGTGGACTTACTGGTTTATTTTTAATATGGTATGAGCTCAGGCAGCAGACGCCAGGAGAATTAGAGTAGACTGTGAGAACTCACCAACAACGTGAGAGAAGCACTCCATTCTCGGCGGAGTCGTAAGGATTTCCCTTTAATTTTCCCCCTCCATTCCATTGGAATGTTTAAGATGAGATAAAGATACATTATATATAAAATATGTAAACAAATATTTCTGATTTTGATTTTTAACAGGTACCCTTGCGAAGGCTAGATATGTTATACATTTTGGTCCTCTGATAGTATGAATGCAGAGTTAGAAAACACAAAGAATCATAAACTTCTCCACTACTCCATTACTGAAAACGGAAGTGTGAAGATACTAGATAATATTCATACTAAGCCATCACAGACATGTATCGCCCCAAATCTAAAAGCTTCCTTGCTCGTTCTTACCTGCTCTCTAGGACTGTTCGGACTCTGTCCCGTCTTTCTGTCGTAACTGGCTCTATGGAAAGGAATATACTTATCCCCCTTACATTCCCTGTCGTACATTTCGTCACACTTTTCGATCTCTATGTGATGCATCTCTATCGGGCATCCGCTCTCACTGGCCATGACAATTTCGGAAGTGACCAGTTGACCGAAAAACGCCAGGAGAGCGGTTCTGTTGTTCATGGAGCCCAAGCCGTCAATCCCTTTCATGAATAACCTGCTAAGTTTCCTTGGGCTGGGTCTGTTCTGGCCCGATAGCATGTAGACGCCATCTGAATACGCCGATGGGGCTCTTCGGATGAGGTGACTGTCTGAAAAAAAACGATAAGTTTTTACTAAAAATTCTTCTATTATTTGAGAGTTACATAAAAATTTAGAACTACCTTTTGTCAACCACCTCCAAACATACCGTTTCCATTCAACTGGTTGAATACTAATTAGACCTTGAAGGGTCTTCATGCATTGAAGCAATGGAGTTGAAACCAAATTTTTTTTCTTGTTGTACGATGAAATATGATAAATATATGATAATGAAAGTTGAATACTGTTCTAATGTGTAGTGAAACCAGTTCTAGTGATTACCAAAATTAAAAAACGATAAATTTCAGAAGACGTTCTTTACAGCTATTTTCATTTTTTACTTATTTTTATTAAATAATAATCTAATAAAATCAATATAAAGTCCAACATTTCATAAAACCGAAAAAACAAACGACTAGTTAGAAAATAATAAACGATTAATTATATTAATTAAAGATAAAAAATTTAATTATCGAGTGTCCATGGACTTTGGATCCACTCTTTTATATCAGCTATTACTGGTAAATCAGGCACTTCATTTTCGTTCTGAATTTGAACGTCAGGAACATCCTTAGTGTCGACATCATTCTCTTCCATCCATAAAGCATCATCATCATTCATTAAACAGAGAATTTCTCGGGCACGTCTAGCCGCAATTCTTTGAGGACGAATTTTCGATATAGGTAACATTTCTTGTTTTTTATGTGAGTGTTTGTGTTGATTAGCGGCTTTATGTGAGGAAAAATATAAACTACATACGCTACACGATCTTTTAAATATGTATGACTCGACACTATGGCAATAACTATCGTATGGAACTTGTTTCAGATAGGATGATGCTCGGAGATTTAATGACAATTGTAGTAATAACGATAGAAAAGCGAGCGAGCACTCGCCGACGACTTAAACCTATTTAAATCCTTACCATTCAAAATTCTCGTGAATTTGAGAATCTCACTTAGATTACAACTCCGCTCTAGAAGTTAAATGACGTTGCATGAGAGATTATCTCATAGCAAGAATGCTAACTTATTAATAAATATATATCAAGTTCGTAAATTTTTAAAATTTTCAATTCACATCCAAACTTTGCGTTTTGGTATTTTAAATTTTAACATGTGACGTCACAAAACTATTGACCCCCCATACCCCTTGTCACACGATGTCACACTTCGGTGATACCCTCCCTCCCCATTAACGTGTGACGTACTTTATTGATGGCCCCTTACTGGTTTTGCCTTTCATAGAAGAGACAAAACGGTCAAAGAATATGACGAAATACAGGGTAGAGGTAGAGGAGGAAGCTGAATGATACACCATATAGTCCATGATAGTTAAAAATAGAGGAGCTTGCTGCAGTCTCGAATATCCAAATCCATAGCGACCTTTCTTCCATCCTGCTAGTGCACTAAATCTCACTCCTAGTTTGATTCGTAATGAAGAAGTGATTGGGTTACATCCTCCCGAACATAAATCACCAATTCACTTCATTCTGGGCCAGACACCAAGAAAACTTGAAAAAATGTACAAAATATTTAAATAACAATAAAATTAAAGCCACTGTTTCAAAATTATTTCTCATTCATTTTTCTCTGACCCAGGCGGCCTTCAATTTTTAGCGCCTATTGGGAATTTGAAATTAGATGCCAGCGCCATTGTGGCGAAAGTTCAAAAAACACAGATGTCTACGTTGATTTTAGGTTATATGCAGAGTTGCCAACCCTAGCGGAATTCCGCTACGGTAGCGGTATTTACTCGAGGGTAGCGGCGTAACGGATTTGAACATAAAGTAGCGGAATTTTCTACAAATAATCAATAATGAAAAAATGCGGAAGAAGAAGAGGCAGTGGACAGCACTCGAAACTGACGGCTGACAATTGAATAATTGAATGCACAGTCAATACGTTAGAGTCTTAGTAGCTGAGGCCATTATATGATGAAAGAGAAGAAAAATATTTTTGGATATTTTCAGTATTATCATAAACCGTTTAATCTTCAATAACTTGGAACTAAAACTATCGACTGTCTCGAGAATTATGAATTATAAGGAACAAATTACAGTGGAAATGGAAGATACTTCATCTGATTGTAACTCGAGTGAAAGAGCTACCGCAGTTGAAATTGACGGGAATGGCACATGTTCAAAAAATACAAAAAGTTTCGAAAATTTTTCTCAGCATTGGTTGTCTGATTCCAACTGGAAAGGATGGATTAGACCTGTCGTGAGTGATCAAGAGTACGTGAATAAATTGATATTAATTTTTACTTTTCAAAATCATTATTTCAAGCTAAGAAATATTTGCTCGAGACAACAGCTTTCGAAAATTAACTGCTTTAAATTTAGAAAATTAGGTACCATCTACTGAGTTGCGCGGTTGAAAATTAGCATGATCCTGTTTCCTGACATTAATGACAGTTCAGTTTTATGGTATCTGAACGGTACACAAACTACAAATTGTAAGTTCTGTGGTATTCAATTTTGGATAGGGCGCATGTGCAAACTGATTGTATAAGATATACAAGCATAACGGAATATGAAGCAGTGTAGCGGAATTTTGGTTCATGTGTAGCGATTTTATAGTTCATTCAGTTGGCAACACTTGTTATATGTTTAATTATAGTTGCATATTAGTATACGTGCTTTGTGAAATCAGCGTGTTTTCTACAAAGCACGTATATAGGTGTTCTCAATTGTTTCCAACCTTTGTTCTGAAATACTTCAATAATTTTCATTGGAATCTTTTCTTGGTAAATAATTTATGATTTTAAAAAAGTGATTTGTGTTTATGTAGTTCGTGCAAATACTGTTCGGTATGTTGTTTAATAACATAATCCATCTTGGCGTTGAGTGAATATTTTTTTCAAATTATGTGGATTTTCAAATGTGCTTTTAACTTTGACCCCATTGTTTAAGCTTCTCTGATTTTTAAATCTAGTTTGAATTTCTGAAACCTGATTCGTAATAATATTTTTATACTTGCTTGTGATTCTGGTCCTTCTATATCAAAATCATTTTTCTTTCCTTGGCAATTAATTGTTTTAGATGAGTGAGGTTAGAGTATTCCAGATTTATATGAACTGAAACCTATTTGTTGAAGGCTATTCAATCATACAAAATGGCCGAAATAGTGGAGATAATTTTTCATATTCATTCAGAATGTTTGTTCATCCACCTAGTTACAATGTTTTTGTTTTTAGTTCTCAACATCGACACCATGAAGAGTGTCGTTTATTTTGAATTTTCTGTACAGGCCTATCCAACAATCTCGATAGTTTTCTCAAACTATTTATTTTAATTATCGATCAAAGACTACGAGTAGAGCTCGTGATCTATATTTCATTCAAGAATATGTAAAATCTCTTTCGTTTTGGATACTTGTCAAGGTTGCTCTCGATACAGGTCTGAATTAACATCACGGATACAAAAATGTAGAGAAATCCCATGCGTGACCTCCTTAATCGAATACTGAAAAAATCTGCATTGCACATAATTTATTATAATTCATAGCGGTTGTGCGATGATTTACATTCATTACATCATTCCGTTACGATTATTTGATAATAAAAGTGAATGCATCCAGGTGGTCTCTGCAAGGATGGATGAAGAGCGGTTTTAGAAAGTGTATAAAGATCTCAAGATCTCGAACTTTTTTGTGGATAAGACTTGCTCGGTGGGAGAATCGAAAGGATCGAAAATTTGTGCCATTTTTTACCAGGGCCTTGTCTTACCTTTTTCCTTTCACACACATCCAAAGCCGAATCTTCATAGTACATCATTGCTTCATATTGGAGAAAGAATGTAATATAGGTAAATAAAAACTTGCAAAACAGATCGCGAACTTTCCAAGCACAACCAATGTCAATTTAAATATTGATCATTGCATATTTTGATGAATAATACTGACTATCTAAGGAATGATTCAATCGAAGGAGTCTTATAAAGTAATTTACCACATGCATTGTGCAAAAATAACAGCCATTAAACAATTGTAGGGGAGATATGCCTGAGATGGCATACTGGCTGAGACGGCATAACATATGTTTTATCTAAACCTATTTAAATTTGGCGCTGTTCTGACCAAAAACTATTATCAATTCTCAAGAATTTGGCAACAGTCTGCAAAAGCCATACGTCAGATTCGTTTTGGCGGCAGTAGGTTAGTCAGTGGATCTTCTCATTGATTGTTATTTGAAATTAAAGTAAGTTCCAATACGTATTTATGTTTTTTGGTGGCTTAATTAGTATATCCTATATTATGGTGTCGTTAACACAAAGCTACTAAAATATAGGTTAGGAAAAGGATCTTCTGTATTTGTGCCTGAGATGGCATACTATTCGTGTGAACGAGTTGGCAGGGTATGCTTTCTCATACAAGTGCATTGGAGAACAGGGGAGGCTAAAGTCATATAGACTATATACAAACAGAAAAGCCCGCCGGAGGCGCGAAAATTTTCATGTTGTTGCACGCTTTGCTTAATGGGCATGGGCATGACAATGCGTAAAAAGTGCAGGAGGAGCTATGGACTTTATTTTGTTTGTAAACCATTTAAATGGCCGGCCATGACCGCAGCCCCATGATAGGATTGCGCAATTAACTTTTGCTTAAAATTATAGGTGTCACACGTACGAATTAAAAAATCAAACAAATCGTCAGCTGTGCGCCCAGATGAAACATCATGAATACCCATAAAACGTTCTACCACATTACCATCTTTGACATATCTAAAAACGGTTGAAAGTAGTGATGTACAGGTAATATCGGTAGTTTCATCAATTTTCCATGCAAATAAAGAAACACTTCCAATCTCCTTGCTTATATTTTCTTTAATATATGCCATAACTGTCTATAAGCTCATTTTGGATGGTTTTTGAGGTGCCCGTAAAAACGCTACCGTTTAAAAAGTGTCAAATTTTGAATTATATTTGCTCCATAACACGAGGTAAATTTTTTAAATCGAAGTATTCTATTTTAGATCACGTTTGGTATTCGGTTTGTACGGAAAATAAACCACAAGGCCAACAAAAAAGATTTTCTAGTTTAATGGAGTCGGTTAACCAATCGCATTTATCATACCAACTGATATTAAATTCTCGATTTTGTCGATTATCTGACGATTTGATTGAAATCAAATTTGGTTGAGGCCTTCCCAGAGTTTTAATAATGTAAAATTCATTATCATAAGATAAAGAATTATTTGTCAGCAACCAATCGACTACCTATATCGTCAGATTTTTTAATTTCGTCCAACTTTTCCATAATAAATGAAAAAAAAAACTTAACGAAAAGTGAAAACCTGAAAACACCTTGGATTTGAAAGAAAACACTTTGAAAACACAATAAAAATTTTTCCAAAAAGCACTGCTATAATGTGATACTGCCTGTTTTATACACAAATAACAAATATTATCAAGAAACACTAAAACGATTTACCAAAATATTTTTCAGTCCCGGTCCGTCACGGCATCCTGTCCGAATAATTAAATAAAAAAACAAACGCAGTCATACACTAACAGAGACCAACTGGAGGCTAGCCTCCTATGACTCTATAATTTCTGCAACTGAAATTACAAATCGGGACGTATGTCGCTGGTTGGATCGGTCTCGTGGAGCCTGTGTTTTTTAAAACGACTCCGTGAATTAATGAAGTTTTTCATGATTGATTATGAAACTGAAGTGTAGAAGACGGTGAAATAAGGTGTGAAACCGATAATAAAAATGAACTTGAGATTTTCTATAGTTTGTATTGTGCAAGAAGAAGCCTCAAAAGTTGCAATTTCCGGAACTCAGGAGGGAGGTACCTCTGGTAATAATAGAAAGCACCAATTTTTTTGGATTCGTGATCTACACGTCAAAATACGCAAGCAGACCCAAGTATTTTTTTCAATTTCGGAATATGCATTACTCGATAAAAGAGTTCGCTATAAGGAAGCCAGAAAGGTAAAATTTTATTTTTTGTTGTTGTAATCAGTAGTTATTTCGTTACGTTTATTCCTTGTTTTTCTCTCAAGTGTTCGACTTGCAGTTAGGATGCGCCGTAGAAATCTCGCCTAGGACGCCGGTAGTGCTAAAACCGGCACCGGGTGCAGCCTATCCAAAAATTCACTCCCAAAAAAAGTTGAAAGGTTATTTTTCACCCACAAAAATATCTGCATGTCCCCTATTGTAGGTAGGTACTGAAGAAAAGACATGACAACCTCTCATAGCTCTGCGAACCCTTATCATCTAAGGTGACAAACTGTGAGTTCAAATAGGATAGAAGAGACAAGGAAATAAAAGTGAAAGAGTTTCTGAAAAAATGTTTGTTGGGATCGAAAAAACAATATATTATATACCGAAAAGAGTGGCTGCACTAGTTACTGGGACAACGCCCACAAATGGGTGCGGCATATCATTCAAAAGGGGGTGATGAGAGGAACAGAGAGGAAATAATTATAATTTTGCCTGGTTTGGTGATCCAAAATATTTTCAAATGCGTTTTTTTTCGATTGGATAAACAATTTAGTTTTATGCCAACGTTTCGGACTTTATTAAATCCACCATCAGGGCTCTATAATAAATAAATTTAATAAGTGTCCAGAATGTTATGTAGGGCAAACGGGACGTTATACTTAAAATACAGATTGTCTGAACATGAAAGAGATACAAGGAAGTTGAATGTTGCCAATCCAACAGCCCTCGTTGAACACACAAGAGAAAACAACCACAACCGTCAGGAGGAACATTCCCCGTTTATTAAATCGTATTGCTTAATATTTTAATACACATAAGTTTCCACCATCCTGCGTAATCTGATATCCTTCTATTGTTCATAATTTGTTTATTTTTTAAAAGGCAAAGAAAAACGGCCATTCCTAATCAGTTTGTCTCCCTGGATATCGTTTTCATTTTTAATGTGTGTCGTGTATGTGTTTTTATTTGGTTTGTCCTCATTTTCATTTGTAGCTATGTTGTCTGACATTTTAAACGAGATTGTATAAACTTTATAAATTTTGCATTATGTATTGGCATATACTGTTCACTTATTAAATTATTTAATTGTAGAGCCCTGATGATGGATTTAATAAAGTCCGAAACGTTGGCATAAAACTAAATTGTTTATCTACAAATATTTTTGATCCCTTTCCCAACCAATCGAAAAAAGTCTGCCACAATGAGCTGAATCCATTCTTAGAGCCAATTACAGTCAATTCAAACCAAAGTATATGTAAATGCTGAGCATTATTAACACATTTTTCTTTCATTTCCGCGCAAATAATCCCCTACCATTATCTTCCTCTCACCACCCCCTTTCGGTTGATATGCCACACACCCTTGTGGGCGTTGTCCAATAACCACAGTCCTGGCATAAAAGTAAATTAATTATGTTTCATTAATCCTTGTCACTTAAAATATCCCGGATGTCCTACAATTGAATATCCTTCGAGGTACTAGCCAGGAAAGTTATTGTTTACCGCTGACATTTTCCAAATCTTATTGCATAGAAAAGCTGAGATATTATAATTTATCGAAATATTTATTTTGTTAGCGTTATTATCTCTCCTCGAAAAAGCAACTTGTCTCCGTTGTTAGTCGTCTACCGCGCATAAGAAACAAGGAAGGAATGTTTTTCAAAATAACAGAAGATACAAAAAATGAAAAAGGATTTAAAATCTTACCTGCAGAACCCCAATCCGGATGTGCCAAGTTATTGAACCAACCGTCGTGTCTTTGTTTTTCTAGTTTGCCTTGCGGTAGGTCTGAAAAAAGAGATAAAATGAAATCATCATTGTACAAAATAAGGCTGTACATAAATAAGAATTAAGTCACATTTGTAACATCCAAATATTTTATGAACACTTTTATAATCATGTACAGTTGGCATAAAGTACGCTTTGTTGGAGCCAACGTTTTGTGGAACGGGTGAAAATACTTATACCGTCATTTGTTTGAAGGTGATTGACAATGTTTCATGATGAATTTCATTAGTTCGGACTTCCATTGTCTAATAATATATAAAATGATTTGAAATCCCTAAAAGAATCAATATAAATTGCAAATCAAAAAGAATAGATGACAGTAACAATCATATTAAGCAGAAAAACCCTCAAATGAAATTACAGTGAAATAAAATGCAAGTGAAAAATAGAACAATTAAACAAAAAAATTATAAATAAGAGATTCCAAACCAAGTTACTTCACGACATTTCGATTGTTAGTATCCACAATCGTCTTCGTCTATGAAGCAGAGATAAATGGTAAAAACATAAATTTAATATTGATCCCATCGGACATAGAAATACGAGGTAATAAAGAAGTTGATGAACTTGCCAAAGAAGCAGTAACCAGCGCAACATCTGAAATTGTAACCAAAACGATGACAGGCGACATGCAGAATTCAATTATAGTGGCCATGCTGGTCGCATGGCAAAACCGTTGGCAAAGACTAACATCAAAGCTAAGAGGAGTGAAAAGTTTCGTGAAACCATGGACTACATTACCAAAACATCGAGGACCAAGTAATCCTAACCCGTTTACGGTTAGGCCACACACGCCGAACTCACGAGTTTTGAAAACAAAAATGAACCAACATGCGAAGCGTGCCACCTGAATCTGATTATGAAGCATCTCCTTATTGACTGTCCGCTATTTCACAAGTTAAAATCGGTAAAACCCAAAGTTTGTCCCCAATCGTATCTATTGGTGTTCCTCAAGGTACAATATTCGGTCCAATACTGTTTATTGTGTACCTAAACAATATTTGCCGCATTGATAATTTTCTAGGTCACAACATATGTTATGCTGATGATACTGCATTGATTTTCAAAGGCAACACCTGGAATGAAACTATTGACACAGCTGAGCAAGATTTGAGGGAAATTGGATATGGTTGAATAATAACAAATTGAGTATAAATATACAAAAAACAAAATTTATCACCTTGTCTCTTAGATGTAACGACCAACCCAACCCAAAAACAATTAAAATTCATAAACCAGATTGCTCAGATCTGCAGTGCCAATGTCACGAAATAACAAAGACATCGTCGATTAAATACTTACACACATAAGGTGGGATGAACATGTTAATCACTTGATCAAAAGGATACGATTGCTAATGAATAAATTTTACAATCTGAGGGACATCGTATCCAAAAATAATTTAATAACTCTGTATTACAGTTTGGCTGAATCTGTCCTACGTTACTGCATTACAGCATTATATTAATAATAAAAATTGCTCAAAATTCTTTACTGAAAATTATTTACAAAAAAAAACATTTTTGAACCAGATTACTCTACAAAAATACAGTGATAATGAATATAAATTCCTTATATATAAACAGAAGCATTATCTAGGTCTATTTAAACATCGGTTAAAAAAACTAGAAAATGATATAACAAGATCAAGAATAGTCACAACACTTCAGATTCCACTTTTAAGAAAAACTCATTCCCAAAGAAGTCTTTTTTATTATGGCCCAAAATTTTTCAATCTTCTTCCTGAAAACCGGAAAACTATAAGTGATATAAAAAAATTGTCTTGAAAATATTAGCTGTCAATGTCAATTGTTATACTCTTTCCGATTATTTTTGCCGTAACGATAAAGTTGGTGGAGGGGTAGCTATCTTTGTTAAAACTATTCACGATTAGGTATACAGTCTTACACACTACCGTCGAAAAATCTCAGGGTACGTTTGAATATGCTGCTGTCGAAATAGCCGCTCACAACTCCAAAATCCGCGTTAACTGTTTTTACAGACCTCCATCTTCCAATAGTATATCATTCATACATAATATGGAACTATTTCTTGATTCTCTTTTTGAAAAAATTGTTCAAATCTCTTGTATCGTTTGTGGTGATTTTAATTTCAACTTCCATAAGAATTCCACTGATGGCAATGCAATTTATCTGCGTAATTTATTTGCCTCTTACGGATTGAATCAATGTATTTTCGATTACACAAGAATACAGGGTAATAGCATGTCTACGATGGACAATATTTTTTCCTCTACATCCAATATCTCTAATTCCACCGTCAGTCACATAGATTTCTCGGATCATGCACTTCAATATATAGTTTTACCAATCACCTCTCCTACTGTAAAGATAACCAATTATTTTCTTAAAAGATCCTTCTGTGACCAAAACATTCACTTTTTGAATGCTTTATTGGCTCTTGAGGATTGGCTATCTATATACTCCAGCAACGGTAATGCTGATGAAAAATTCTCAACTTTTTATGACTCATTTCTCAACCTATTCGATAAAGCCTTTCCTCAGGAATTACACCAAACCAATACATATAAAAAATCTAATAACAATAAACCTTGGATAACTAAGGAGATCGTTAATGAAGGAAAATTACTCAGAGATATTTTTCACATCAGTAAAATCCAATTTGATGAAATCATTAACCAACAATATGAATTACTTTTGAAATAGCATCGACAAACGATAGAAACTTTAAAGAAGTCTTACTTTGGCCACAAATTTCTTAAAGCCAATTCTTGCCAAAATATGTTATTGATGAAAATGAATTATCTGTAAACGAGGGTGTTGATATCTCCCAAACATTCAGCGATTACTTCTTGAATTCTGTCCAAAAATTAGTCAAAGAAACATCTCCTATTTTAGTAAATAACTGTGACATCAACTCCAACTCACTTCTTTATATCCTCTGGATGAAACTGAACTACTCGAGATAGTGAAGTCGATATCTTCTAAGACTTCCAGTGGCGTGGATGAAATACCTTGCAACCTCTTGTTCAAGGTGGTTGAAAATTTGATCGAACCCCTCTTATACCTCATTAATATCTCCTTAGTCGAAGGTATATTCCCTACTCGACTCAAACATGCAATAATAGTGCCTATCCATAAGAAAAATGACAAGCACTCGATTTCCAATTACAGAGGAATTGAGTTACTATCTGCATTTTCCAAAATATTCGAGAAAACTTATCAAAGCAGACTACTTTCTTTTTGCAAGAAGTATAAAATCATACCAGACTGTCAATATGGCTTCCAAATTGGCAAGTCCACTCAGGATGCCACGATGAATTTAGTCAATGAAGTCATTTCTAATCTCGATAGAGGTGAAAAACGATGAGTGTTATATTCGACTTGTCACGAGCTTTCGACACTGTTGATCACGATTTACTTTTGAGCAAGCTGTTTTGTCTAGGAATTCGTGGCTCATCGCTGGACTGGTTGAGATCTTATCTGGATTGCAGAACGCAAACTGTGAGGGTTAAACTTGAGGCTGGCACCTTCCACTCTAGAACCTGTGTCGTTCCCACCGGTCTTCCCCAGGGTAGCGTCCTAGGACCTATTCTCTTTCTTTTATTCGTACATGATCTCAACAACAGTAATGGTCAACATTGTACAGTGCAATTTGCCGCAAAAGCAGCAAACGGCCCTCTAATTATGCCCATCAAGTTATACAACAAACTACCTATCTCTCTTAAACAGCTATCAAACCTGCATTTCTTCAAAAAAAATGTTAATAAACTGTTACATGACAATACATTTTATTCCCTCAATGAATACTTCCAGGTTGATTTGGAAATATTAATAACTTGATTATTTTATTCTACAAAAAATATCATAGTAAATAAATGTTTCTCATTGATTTGTTATTCTCTATATGTCAATTTTTGAAGAATATGTCCCTAAATTTTCACATTCCCAAATAATGATCTACAAACGAAAACGATAGTACATTTCATGACATTCTGAACTACCAATAACAACGAAAATAATTTCGATTCAAAAACGCACTGTTATTTTTATGTTGGACCACACTGATTTCTAAATGCATTATCTTCCAATCCTAATAATTAGATCATATCCAATCACCCTCGGAACATTTGAATAGTAATGTACTTGTCAACAAACTTGACATAAAATTATACACAAGGTGAAATATACTCGAAACCTGTCCTGTGCTTTTTAGCTAAATAACATTATTCTTGGCTGTATATTTTGGGTGAGTGTGACAAAGATTTCTTAGTCATACAGTTCGATATTCTGATTCAAGGCCTATACGATATTATCACAGTAGGAGATTTGAGCCGGTTCTAAGCCTCCCCCCACCACTATGACGTATTAATTGCTTTTTTATTGGTTGTTGTTTGGTGAAGTCAAGGTG